CTTCTTTTGAGCACCCTTCTAGGCTGACATTGAAGTGTCAAGCAAGGCGCGTGATGTAGGGACCCATTGATCTGACATAACTACAGTTTCCCTTGTTGGCCCTAGCAAAAGAGGTGGCTATGACTGAACCCAGGTGCAGAGTGCTAGACGAGTCCATCATACAAGAATATGCCAGCAAGATCCTCTCGGTTATCTTGTTCGGGTTGTGGTAAGCCGGGTAGAGGGAACGGGCTAGGAGGGCTATGATGACACGCCATTGGGGTTTGAGTGTGGATGCCGTTGTGAGGGCCGACTTGAACTTTGTCCTTCGGTACTTTGGGAGGCAAAACTTCAGAAGTGCGGCATTCACGTCGAAACTTCGGATGACGTCTTCCTCCCACTCGTCCTCATGCTTGGCTTCCACTCCGAGGGCTTTAGCCAAACCGTCGAAGCTCAAATTTCGAATTTCCCCTCCTAATCGGAACTCGACTTGGCATACTAAATGACCGAGTAGGCAAAGGCTCTTAAGTATGGCGAAGGTGCTGAAAAAATCGACACATAGTTCCCCGTAAGTGTCATCTTAAAAATCAAGGGCTTGCGCCATTGTGGGTGCACCACTGCCTCCCTCATAGCATCACCGCAATGAAGCCCGTTGAACTATGCGAAGTCGAGTTTCCAATGGTTTCCGACCCTCGAAGATGCCCAAAAACACGCCTCTCTTTCCTTTTCAGGGCTGCTCCGTAGCGCCACAAGGTATGGGTGTTCCATGTTAACCATCCTGCACAAACTGAAAAACATACACAAACTGAAACACATACACAAGGTATGGGTGGTATAGCGGGTTTGGGTTTTAATGTCAGCCCGGGTCCTAAGTGTGATGACTACTCTGTGAATTCTCATTATTTAGCAGTGAACGTGTAGTGAAGGTCTAAACAAGCAAAGCAGTTAAAAGGTTGTTTTCAAGTCGAGAGAGGTCACCCGGATATGGTTCCCCCTAGACTGCAGTTAAGCCGGATTGTAATTTACCAAGTTCAATTTCAATGATAGTTATACTGCGGGAGGTTCTTAAACAGTTTGAAGTCTCGACTAAAGGTCTCCAGACCCTCTCAATCTGAGTCCCCAGCGGGCGACTAACCTCCACCGCAGTAAACAGATTGAGGCCCTAACGAACCAAACCTCCACTACCAAAGTAAATTTGGTACCTAATAGTGAATTGACTCCTCGACTAAAGTCGTCAATTCACTACCTTCAATCAAGGGTGCTCTATCAACCTAGGCATATATTCTCTTTCTAAGTTAAAGTAGAAACAACAGGAATTTGATCAGGATTCATGCCATTCAACAAATCAAACCTCAATTGAATATAATCATATCACTGAATCTGTACTTGGGTTCACATAGGGGTGGGCAAATGGTTCGGTAAACCCAAACCGAACCGAATTAAACCGAACCGAAATCGAATTAATGCTATTCGGTTCGGAATTCGGAAGGAAAATATGGATAGTTCGGAAATCAGGGCTCTTTCAACCGGACCTAATTTCCAACCGAAAAACCGAAATACTATAATTGCAAGCTCCAAATGATGGATTTTTATGTTTGTAGTTGTTTTTAGACTTAAATATTTGAAATGTTTTACGACTTATGTGTTGAAAAGTTTGGTTTTATCATTGATGATGCATATAATTGATATTTATTGTTTATATTAGGGGTGAAAAATAATTTAAAAGTGAGAAAATACAAGTAGCTTCACAAATTCGGTTTGTGTGAAAAACCGAACTGAAACGAATTATAATTCGGTTTAAACCGACCGAACCGAATTATAATTCGGTTCGAATTCGGTTTGAGGTTTGTGGGAATTCGGGGACCCGGTATTCATAATTTCGGTTCGGTCAAAACCGAACCGACCGAATGCCCACCCCTAGGTTCATACAATCAGACCTAACATACAAATCTAGGGTTCTTCATACCCAGGTGAAAGAGAAAGTTACTTCATAGAGAGAGACGGGAAATCTAGCTCAGATGAGGAAACCATACTGTGAAGGATGAGAATCTGCTTCTGGCACTCAATCAGCTCTTCTCCAAGCTCAAGCCGGGCTCCAATGGTGATGGAGATCGATCAAAGACACTTGCAGAATCAGGTTCGTCACTTTCTCTCTCTAGGTATACGCTTTTTCTCTCCAAAACTCGGAACCCTTCACTTTTGACCTTCTTTTCCCTTAAGAAGCTGTCTGTCGCGATCCCCGGCCTGAATACCCGGTTGGGTATTTCAGGTGGAGGTCGGGGATTCTCAAAACGCACCTTCGGGGATAGGGGGTTAATCCCCGGTCAGGGTCAAGAATACCCGACCGGGATTTAAGCTTCACGACCGGGCCCCCCTCTGCTTCTCAGACGCCCAAAATTCCTTTTCCCCGGTCTGCTCCGATTAATACCCGGCCGGGTATTTTTGCTCATGGCCGGGTATTTTGCCCTTCCAGCACACTTCAATTCAAACGTGCTCCTTTCGACCCGAAACTCGTTTCTTCGCCTCGATGTCAACGCCAAGCCCTGAAATATGACATAAACGCACAACCTAGCGTGAAATCGGCTTACAACACGAGAATCAACATCTCAAACTGCTCAAGAATAGGGGTAAAAACATGTACAATCAATGGTCTATCAATGGCTCTTCTTCATGGTCTTGCGTGACCGTGAACTTCCTGGGAAAGCCGTGAACTGGCCATTTTTCACCTCTTCTCCCGGTTTTCGATCCTTTTCGTCCAACTTTCGACTCCGAGGCTTCACCTGTTGAATCCTGAAACATGCTAAAACACGAGAAACCTAGCATAAAACCAACCTTTTAGGAGCGAATTTGCCACAAACACCTAAGTAAAACGAGGGTAAAACATGTACAATTAGACCCGAACCAACGGTGAAATTGAGAAGAAGGAAAGCATTGCCTTTTGGGGAAAAAGGATCTTTCAACATGATGTCGAGTAGGATGTGAGGTTAGGGTTAGGGTTTAATTCATTTGGGGTTATTTTTGGAATTTCCTAGTTACGGGTGAGTTTAATCCAAAACTTAGTTAATATCCGTAACTTCTTCGTTTTAGGTCGAAATTTGATCTCGTTTAAATTGAGAGTTCACATTTTTAGTCTTCATCGATATTACAGTGGAATTTAACAATTTTGATCTAGGGCATAATGTTCATTTTGGCTTAGCAAATGGATGGGGTGTAACATTTCTACCCCTGTTGGAAAATAATTTCGTCCCCGAAATTTGCACGAAACTCATTCATCTGTCAACACAATTCTTGTACTTCCTTGCCTCAAGTATTTATTCTAACCATATGAACTTCAATCGTGTCCTTTGCTTGTCTCATATAGTTTACTATACTTCTTATATCTCCTCTTGACAATAACATGTATCCTCACCAGTTTGTAGCATCGTGTAGCTTTAAGTGACTCATTGCCCTTTTAATTCCGCAGCTTGGACCGGTTGTGTGATGGGACAAAATGTCGATTCGTTTTAATTCATTGTTACAACTCTTGTAGTATTTCTTGTTGAACCTAAATCAAATTTGAGGTATCACATTTCCTCCCCACTTATAAAATTTGCCCCCGAAATTTGTTCCTAGTGATGGCCCCAAGCCTTGCTTGTAATAATTCTTTTTTTTTAAGAAATTGTACCTCCTTTACCTTGTACGACATTAAGCTATAAATATTTCCCTCCAATTTGATGTGATTCTTGTAGACTGGTAGTTCACCCATTTTTCGCAGGCAACTTGCTCAGCTAACTATTTGCTCGATACAACTATTAAATTCTCCATTCATAGACGTATTCAATGCTCTAGTGGTTTCTCAAATCATCTTGTGATCACCGAATTGCCTTAACGTCTCCACTTATGATTCCTTAAGAAACTTCGTCTAAAAATTTCACCAATACTTCGACCTATGATGTTCTCCTTATCACGACTATTGATGCATCTCCTTGAACTCCATGACATTAACGTCCATGGTGAGCGTTTGACTTGCTCGCTAATACCCGGTTTGTTTCTGGCTTATTCATATAGGCAGGTTCCTAGGTAGTATGTAGGGCATCCACTACCTCCATCATTTTGTACATAAGAAGTTGATGCCCATTTCGAACCCCAAGGTTACTAATGGAAGCTTATACTTCTCCTTGCAAGGTCGTAAAACTCATTTAACTCTTATCCATGGTTGACCACGTAGGTCCCTAGTTCCTTGTACATTCTAACTTTGCATCTCTTACTTGCTCCTGGTAATCTATCTTAGCTTTAGACCCTACACCGAATGTCCATCACCTTGATGATTGTCCCATAAAATTTAAATCCTCATGCAACAGGTTTGCCCCTTTAGGGTAACTGGCATACGTGTCACATGGTTTAGATATTCTTCCTGTTTAGGATGGACTAACCAAGCAACAGGTTTGCCCCTTTAGGGTAACTCGCACCTCTGCCATAACAATCTTTTATTCTCCTCGGTTCCACCCACTTTACTTGTATCGCAACATTTCCCAACTCCCGTGTCCACGAAAATCATAAGGTCTCGAAAGCCTATTATTTTGGCTAAATTCATTATGTTAGCTACTTGTCGGTGACATAGTGGCTAGCAGGGGCGGAGCCAGGATTTCAAGGTCGGGGGGGTCGGAAATTAAAAAATAAAAAGAATTATTTGAAAAGTACACGACGTTCTTTGATATCTATAAAAGCACTCAAAATAGCATCTATACTGAAACTTTTAGCTATCATTCGTTCAATGAAAATAACTAAACTATCAGCAAGAAACTCATCATTCATTTTGTTTCGCAATCTATTCTTCACTATCTTCATAGCTGAAAACGCACGTTCGCCTGTAGCTGTGGAAACTGGAAGAGTCAATAGAAGACGAATCAGTCTGTCAATAAGGCTGTATTCCTTTCCCAACCTTGTACCTGCGAACTCCTTACATAGATCAGCAATAGATGATAGCTTCTCTAACGAAGGATAATTAGGAATATTAACCTTAAACATCTTCAACTGGTACTTCAATGTATCAATGTCATCCTCTGAAAAATCAAGAGGATAATACTCCCTTGCAAGCTTGCAGATAGCATCAATGTCAAAGTTTTATATCCATCTCTAGGATTCAAACTCGAGCTAAGCTTCAACAACTCAACCACTCTATCATTGAACCTTGACCCCAATTCTGTCATCTGAACATCAATAGCAGCATTGAATACATCATAATGGTAATGATGTTCATTTGTAACATCTCTCTTTAGAATAGATCGACCTCTAAAAAATGGAGCACCAAGATCAGGAACCTCAATATCATACTGTTTTGAAAACTCTATGACTTTTGCTAGCAAAGAATCCCACTCTTTATCCCTGAATTCATTCAAGAGCTTTTTTGTAGACTCCACCAGTATCATTGCATTGAAAATGTCTTGGAACTTCCGTTGCAAAGCTTGAGAAAGCATATCAGTGGTACTCAGTATTTCTTTCATCAGAAACAAAATGAAAATGAAATTGAACGACTTCATTCTTTCCAAAGCACTAGTAGCATCCCACTTAGCATTGGCGCTACATCCATCATTCATTATTTTCTCCAAAACTTTACAAGTTGAACCATACAACTTGATAAGATTAGATATAGATATGAGATGTGAACTCCAACGAGTATCACAAGGTCGTTGTAAAGTACTAACCTGATTAGCACCTTTTCCTGTTTCAATTTCACCCGCCGCTAGCTGAAGTGCAATCTTGGCTGCTTCAGCAGCTTCTAACTGGTCTTGACGCTTACAAGAACCAGTAACTGCAGTTACAATAAATGATAAGTTCCTGAAAAACTCATGTACCCAATATACTTCCTTAGCCGCTGCAACCAATGATAGCTGGAGACGATGAGCCATACAGTGTACATAATAAGCTTGAGGAGAATCCTTCATAAATAAACCCTGCAATCCATTCCACTCACCACGCATGTTACTAGCACCGTCATATCCTTGTCCACGAAGATTTTGAATTAGGAACTTATAGAATGAAAGAGTTGAGCGAATTGCAGAATACAATGTCTTTGATGTTGTATTTTCCACATGAACAATATCAAAAAAGCGCTCTTGTATAAGCCCTTTGGCATCAACAAAGCGAAGAACAATAGCCATTTGTTCATGACTGCTTTCATCCACAATGATAGAATATTTATAATTTCCAACTTCTTCAAAGATGTGATTTCGTACCTTCTTAGCCAAAACATGCAAAATTTGCTTCTGGATCTCATGAGATATGTACTTCGCATTAAGTGGAGCATTATCCAATGCCACACGACCTATTTCTTCATTGTGATCAGCTAGAAGTTGAAGAAACTCAATAAAGCCTCCACGATTACTTGACTCTTCAGTCTCATCGTGACCTCTAAAAGCGACTCCTTGCAATGCCAACAAATGAGCAACAATTATTGAAGCTTTCACACGAGTTCTATTCTTCTGCACTTCTTCCGATGTTTGTCTCTCCATCGCTTTGTCGATGTGGCCAGATTGTTGCAGCAAAGCAGCACCCTTTCTCACGACATTATTATGATGAGAATTTGGGCCATCCCCAATATGCTTACGAAAAGAACAAGCCTGTCCACCAACCTTTTTCCAATTTCAAAAACCTCCATGTGTAAATACATCCCAACCAAATTTAGTGGTTGGCTTTTCAGCAAAGAGATAGCAGTAAAGACAATAAGCAGCATCCTTTGGTTCTGAATATTCAATCCAATGAAATTGATCATACCATGAAGGCTGGAAGCTGCGAAAATGATCACCATACTGAGTTTGAGGAAAATTAGGAAGTTGAACTTGGTTAGGACCGCTTGTCAAATATGCCCACCTTATCTCATCATGTTTGTCGTGTAGATATGTCCAAATTGGCTTTCGTAAACCAGGATCACGTTCAACTATATCGAAAGATGGATTGATAACTGTTGAAGTAGGAGGAGGATCCTGAGTACCACTTGCTGTATATGATATTTCTTCTTCCTCTCTGTCTTCTTCTACCTCTAAATGATCAACAACTTGTACCTCCCCTCCTTTTTGAAAGAATGAATCTATTGTTTTATGTTTTTTCTTCATATCCACTAAAAGAAAAATATTAACGCACATAAGAAAATTAATAATAGTATAATAGAATATTTTAGCAACTATAAATAAACTTTTCGATTGATAAAACAAACAAACAATGGATAAAATCATCGTAAGGAAGAAAGCCTAGTTATTTGTGCAGAAAAGTGGGAAAATAATGCAAAAACAGTAGCATGAAAGAATTAAATTAATTCAACGAAAAATATAAAGAAGCAAACTATTGCATCGCACTCACCTCACCTGGGACTTGGGGCTGGCCGATTGGATGATTGGATCAAACTAATGATGATGAAAATTGAAAAGCAAGCAGTAGGCTGTAGCGGGCCAGCGGCAGCAGAAGTACGAGTACTGTTCTCTGGGAAATTATGATTTTCTAGGCTTTAGGGTTCCTGACACGCCAAAACACAACACCAAACTGCGACCAAGTGTAATCGCAGTCCGGGAATGCAGTAAAGTGGCAAGTTCTAAATATCAACCCGGGGTCTAGATCTACTGCCTACTCCGTGATTATCTATTATCTAGCCAACTAAGTCAAGTGATTGTTGTTTTAAGCAAAAGCAGTAAGAAAGCATGAATTGGTACGGTTTTCTCAAGCAAAGAAGAGTCACTCGGGAATGAGTCCCCCTAGCTCCTTAGTTAGGTCTCAATTGTAATTACCCTGGGTTGATTTACTGTTGATTAGACTGCGGAAGTTCCGACAGTAGCTTGGAATCTCTTAAGCTGACCAAGCCCTCTCAGTCTAACTACCCGGCAGACGACTAGTCTTCACCGGGATAGAAAGCTGAAGCAATAAGCACAGAACTCCACTACTGGAATTGGATTCCAGTACAAAGCAGTAAACTGGCTAACTCTCGTATATCCAATCTCCTACTACCGAATGAAGAGGCTCTAACAACCTAATAAGATTATATCTATCTCAGGTTGCAGCAGAAATCAAGAAAAGCTGATCAGACTTCAATCAATTCAATAAAACATGCATCATTCGATTAAAACCAAACAGTATAATCATCCTAAGTCATTACAATCAAATCCCTAACACATGGAACTAGGGTTCTTCATACCCAAGTGAGAGAAGGGTTCTACTCCATAGAGAGAGAGAGAGGAAAACAGAATACAAAGCAGTCATACTCATAACAATGGGAAGAATCTGCTCTGGGATGATGATTTCCATTCCTATGACGATCTCCAAGCTCGATTTGATGAAACCCATCTCCAAGATTGCTTCTAGGATGTGTTCTTCGCACTTTCTCTCTCTAGGGCTCTGTTTTTGCTCTCAAAAGTCGATTCCCTCACTTGTGGCCCGAAATTGGGTAAAAACCAGAAAATCCCGATCACACGGGCAGGCCACACGACCGTGTGGCCTACGCAGATGCCCGTGTGAGATACAAAACGCGGCGTTTCCAATAATTGCACTTTAGGCTACATACACGGCCAGGGATACACTGCCGTGTAGCTCACCCCGTCTGCCCGTGTGAAGCCTCGCATAATCCTACACGGCCACATTGCTCCTTCACACGGCCGAATGGGTTTTATTCCTGCCCGTGTGGCTTCCTCAGCGACTCGCCGCACGTTCGATCTTCGTCCAATCAACCCCGAGCTCGCTCCCAAACCTTCATTCACGTACTAGGACCTGAAATATCACAAACAAGCACAACCTAGCGTGAAATCGGCCTAAAATACGAGAATCAACACCTAAAACGGCTCCAGAATAGGGGCAAAAACATGTGCAATTAACGGTTTATCAAACTCCCCCACACTTAACCGTTTGCTTGTCCCCAAGCAAACCAAGTCAGACACAAGGTAAGCTTACATATTTCAACCATACCAACATTGGGGACAATTCATATAGGCACAGAAACACGTGAATCATACTGGCTTTCAAACATCAACACATGAACAACTTCAATAGCAACCTGGACAACCACCACAGAAGACATTCGAGTGCAGCAAAATCGAATAAAGGAGGAGTCTCCCTTCTATTCATCAACCAACCTAGACTTGACTCAACCACTTACTCAAGACAGTCAACTCATGCATAAAACTCAAGACATCAGAATCAAGACCGAGCCATCAAGGTCCTCACCGGGGTAAAGAGCGTAAAGAACAAGGAAATGAATCGCTCACTCTCGACCAGTGGGGTCAGGACAATTTGATGCGAAAAATGCGCATACTTATTCTCTCAATTCCTAACATCTCTTCACCATGACGGCAGCCTCTAAATGTTAGAGTTCACATAAATGGTTGTCATCACTAACTAATCTGGAGGTCTTAGACACAGGTTCAAACGACTGGCTAGGGTCTTGGACATGGGGAAAATGCCTTTTAGGTGGTGGAAGTATTCATAGCACAAGGTTCCACATTTGCAAACCCAACAAACTCACAGTCAATCAAACCAGTACTTTCTTTCTGCTATTCTGCATTATTCAAATTCTTCAGAGCACAAGAGCGAAGGAGGTCACATAAATGCTAGTATTTCTAAGCCAGACTGCTAAGAAACACTACCTAATGGGCACTATTCAGATTTTTTGTGGTGGCTCTCTTTTTCTTTCATTTTTTTCTTTGTTTTTCTTTCATTTTTTCCATTTCTTAAGAGAACAAACACCTGCACATTTTCAAACACCTGCACATTTTCAAACACCTGCCCAACTTTTTAAGAACTACCTCCAACTCTCACATTACATTTAGCAGAAACAGCAGAGAACATGTAAAAATCCCTCTGTGGAACCTTCTAAAAGATGCAAAAGGGTGATTTTTCATTGTAGACCGAAAGAAAGGAGAACACACGGCTCAAAGGGGCTGACTAGGGGGTATGACACACCAGGACAGTCAATTTGGTCGTGGGCTAATCCTATGCCTCTATCATCTTAGCTAATGACAACGTGAATGCTACACATCATGGAAGAGGGAACTATCGCACAAGAAAGAAACGAGCAGACTCAAATCTCACATGGCTACCTATATGCTCTATCTCTCATTCTGATTCCCTGAACTAGATGCATAACCGACTGTCAAGAACAAGTGATCAATCCAAGTCACAGTTGGTAAGCAAACAGTTGAAAAACCAAACCCCTACACAATTCTACTGCACGTCTCAGTCATCATTATAGGTTGTCCTAGTCACAATCCAGTTGTCATGCATTAATTCGAAAACCATTCAATTCACCAATCAAAACACAGTGCCAATATGATTAAACAGCCATACTTGGAGCCCTCAAATCTCGAGATTTGGACAGTGGACTAGGCTCCAAGCACATGTATATAGATTCCAACCGATACAAAGCACCCCCCCACACTTAAGCACGACATTGCCCTCAATGGAGCATACAGAGAGATAAGGGGAACGATGTTACCGGATCGAAATGCTGCGGGAGACTGGTAGTGGACCAGTCAGTGGGGAACATATGGAACGAACGGACAGTTCTGCACTAAGGGAACATCAAGAACACACTAGCACATGTTCATTAGGGATCAGAGGTGACCCAGATGGCCACAAAATAAACAATCCACATAGAAAAGAAACAAAACACACGACAGACTCAGTTCAAGCTCCTCAACACATGGAGCAAACATAAAGCAATCTAAAACAAAAACACACACTGAGGGGCGACAAGTACAGCCTACTCGTCGCCATGGTTGTCGAAGTCGATGTCATTCATGAATGCATCATCATCATCAGCTGGGGGAGGTGGAAGTGGAGAGTCCTCCCAGGGAGTCCTCCAGACTGGCTGCTCGCCCGGTAGCAGTTGGAGCAGATGCCCCTGGACCTCCTGCATGCGCCGAGAACGGGCCTGCTCCCTCTCGATACGAGCCAGGGTCACCCCCTGCTGGGTCTCCATCCGATCGAGACGCTCATCATAAGCAGCCATCCGGGTCTGGTACTCGGCATGGTGAGCCGAATACTGCTGCTGGAACTGGAGCTAATGGTCGTAGAGCTGCTGATTCTGGAGACGCAGCTGCTCGAACTGCTGAGTGAAGTAGTCCTGGCCGGGGAAAGTGGAGCTGCCACCCCCGTACTCGAAGGTGGTGGGGCGGGCGGCAGCAGTATCATCCACATCCTCGGGGTGGACATCCTCATCATCCGCACCCTCAGGAACCTCCGGCTAGTCCTCCTCTGGGATCTGAGGTTGAGGAAACCCCTCGATCCACTTGACTCCTCGCTCTTCTCGAAGCAGGTGCATGCGACCTATCGTAAATGAGCCAAAGACACTGGTGTCTCCCTGCTCTGTGCACCCCTGCAGTGATATCTGGAAGTAGGCGGCCAGGCGGGTGATGAGGGGAGTGCAGTAGGGTTTCTTCAGCTCGGAAGCACTCTTGTCGAAGGTCCTCGCCACCACCGAACCCAAGTGGAGGGGATGATCCCTCTGGCGCATAGACTGGATGAAGTACATGGC